ATACCAATAACAGCAACACCACCACCTCCACCAATAGCAATAGCAATAGTAACACCTTTACCAACAACAAAAAACAGAAACGCCACCAACAACACCCCTCAACCAACATCATCGCCAATGACAAAAACAACAATACATGATAAAACAACAATTACAAAAACGATAACGAAATGTCTTCTTTTAAAGTGAAAAGATTCACGTCGATAACCAATGGTATGCCACATACAGACCGCGTAAACGGATCGAAATCGAAAAGAATTTGAAAGAAACTACGAAGCTTTCCAACCTGTAACGATGAAGGGGTCGATAATCATTGTAATCGTGTTTTATAAACATGTATGTCAAACCGCCTACTTTCCTCGCCCACACTGGTCCATTAATATGGTAGGAAAGACTGACAAAAAATAGGCTACGAAACCCGCCATTAATCAAGATATTGCTTATCATCGTCTAAAAATAGCAATTCAAGATTTTATCTACATATGCATCTTATTAAAGAAAGAAAGATAAAAAATCATATTCAGGTTATTTTTGGTCCATAGTTAATCTTATCTCGCTTTTGATCTTTTGTTTTAGAAGGTTTGTAACTGTGTATACGACTTTTTCTATCAGCCTTCTTCACGACTAATTTTCATGACAAATTATAAATTATCGGCAAGGAGACGAGGAGATCTGAAAAGAACTTCAAGTCTGCAATCCATCATCAAAAGTATTTTAAACGCGAAGAAGAAAGTAATAAGACTTCAATAATACATAGTCCTAGATTATAGATATAGTTTGTTTGTGATTTCTGCTATCAATATCAGTAATAATTTAGCTCCATTTTTTAAAAAACTACTCCAATATTCTTCCCACAATCAATCGATCAAAAACATCTTTGCACACTATGATGTCATTTTATTGGCAAACCATTGATGCTGCTTTCATAACTTAAACCTCACAATAGAAAACGTTTTTAACCGATTTGAGCTCAAGACCAACTATGAATAGAATCAATTAGAGCAGGAATCCTAATTGTAGCCTCTTCTGGAAATATTGAAATGTTGAAAAGAAATCTTTTTGAATAACAATTATTTGAAAAAGAAAAAAGGGTTCTGACAGAATCATTTCCTCACATGGGACTAACCTCTTAATAACAACATAATAAAGGGGAAAAAACGCTAAAATGAACGAAAACATCTGCCTCAAGCAGGGAACGCAATTAGAATAATCCTTATTCTTTGTTGAAGATAATAATGATAAAACCATTAAAACTTCTTTTCCCTGGGCCTAATGTTTTCCCATTTCAGACCACGGTGTATCCATAAGGGGGAAACATTATGTCCAGCGTAAAGAGGTCCGTATTGAGCTAGATTTGTTCATAGTTAATACGGTTTGATTGAGGTAAAACTCTAAAGTCGCGAACTAAATATCTGGTGGTTTTCACAAATCTTAAGGATACACAATTTTAAAAGTTGACCCTCAGAGGGGCCTTAGAATATCTTCAAGATTCTGAATACATTTTGCAATAGAAAAAAGAACAAATTTGTTAAGTCATTAAAGAAAGTATCAAGACACATTTTGAAACTTAACAGTCATCATACATATAGATACTATAGCCATAACCATCATCACTTCCATCACCATCATCACAACGAACATTATTAACATTATTGTCATCATCATCAGCATTATTATTAGCATCATCACCATTACCATCATCATCCATCATCATTACCATTATTAACGTTATCATCACTACCTCCATTAGCATCATCATCATCATCATCATCATGTATCATCGTCACCACCATGATTATGATGATGATCATCACCAACATCATCACCAACATCATCGATCATCATTATCATTATCAACATTATCATCACTACCCCCATGAGCATCATCATCATCATGTATCATTGTCACCACCATGATTATGATGATGATCA